GGAAATCAGTGCAGATCCAGAAATCCTAAGAAAAGGTAAACTAGTTCTGTTTAGTTCTCACAGCTCTCATGCAGCTCAGGACACGAGCATCAGAGAGCCCAGGCTGCCATGGATAAATACTTCTCTCCAAAGGAAACCTACTTCTCAAACCTTCCCTAAGAAGTATGTTAGCAGCAAGATGATCAAGTAATATAGATCCTACAGACCTGAAGATATGTGTTAACACAGGAGCTTCTGGTACAAAAGTGAACTTAAAAAAAAAAGCATCTTTACATACAGCCTATTAAAAAATGACATTAATAAAACCTGTTAAAACTCTTTTCTGTAGGAAAAAGGTATTTGAACACTTTTTTTAAAAAACAGGTATCACTTTGATGCCACCTCACTTAGGAAAAAAATATTATCAAACAATCTGTCCAATGTCAACATCCAAAAAGATAGGTTTGTGTGTTCTAAATGCTCAAAATCCAAGTAAAAAAGTGTCAATTCATTATAATATAGCACTCTACCTCCTCACTCCCAAATTCCATATTAAACTTTTGGCTTTTCCTTTTCCCTTCCAGCTCAGGACATCTTTTTCCCCCAAAAAACCTCCGAGGCATTTCATCAGCACAACATCTGTTTTCTGACCCATGCAAATGGTGATGTCTGTATAACGGTCTCAGTTACTTCCAGTTATTTCTGCAGCTGCCAGTTCTCTAAAATTGTCCTGGGATCCAAAATGCACTTTAAAGTCCAATATGATAATCAGATTCAACTTTCAGTTCACACCTGTGTAACAGGGTTGCTTTCCATGTGGTGGCAAATGAAGACTGAATTTGAATCTAGCAGTGAGCCCAAACTTCGGTGCCAGCAGCATCGAGTCCCTAAAGTTGTGCTATTTCTCCAGAACAGGGAAAAGAAATACGGGCAAAGCTTAAGTTTGTCACTTCCAGAGTCAGCTCTGCTCTAACCCCTGTCCCCTGGCAAAGACAGAAAGATGGAAAAAAGGATTTACAAATACAAATTCAGAAGAACTGAATCTTCATTACAACAATTAATTTTTCAGTTATTATCCTGAAGTGCTGTTCTATCTCGTATATGTAATATTACACAAAAAAAGCTATTAAAGGTACTCTAGTTCATTTGCTTTGGAAAGTGTTTACTTTTCTGTACACATTTTATTTCTATTCCAAAGTTCAGAAAGATAAAATCCACGTGTGTGCAGGTAAAATGCTTAGAACACACAAAGCACAAGGTAAGTGCTAAGAATGCTGTTACCAGCATGTGCCAGGAACATCTGTACAGGTAGAGAGCTCTTAAAGGAAAGGAGAGCATGCAGCCAAGAGCTCCCTCCACGTGACAGGTAGCTGCTTGAGCACCGGCTTAGGTAGGACTGAGACACATTTGTGTCCTTATTGCACTTGAAGACTGTAGGTGGTTGCTTTCAGCCAAGCCTGGACGACAGGACTATGACTCATGCTTCTGTAACAGAAAGGGGATGTCCCAGTCGGCAGCACGCTTGATCGCATCATGCACAGCTGCAAGGGGACAGGAAGGCTGAACCAGTGCCCTGTAACAACTCCATGAAACAACATGTAATGCTCCGATCGTGAAATTTTGGAGGCAAAGTGCTTCAGAATTGTACAGGCCAAATTTTCAGAGCAATAGCCGCCAGAGCCAGTCTCGCGAGTTGGGCTGCATCCCCAGCACACAGAGCCTGGGAGAACCCATCTGCGGGCTGCATTTACCATGTCTGCAAGACACCCATTGCCTTACTGCTTCATACAAGGTGCAAGCTGGTTCCACTGAATTGCAATGGACAATATTGGAATATCAGAGTCAAAGCAGCACTAGAAGTGGACCTGAGACCACCGTATTTGTTTCATGAACTTGGTATTTTACGCTATTTGTAGCTTTTAGCCACTACACATTTTAACCAGTCGAGTTGCACTTGAACTGTAATAGACATTCCAGGCTCAAATAATTTCCAAGGTCAGATTAATCCTGCTACATGTTCTCTCATTGTAAAGCGGCACAAAGTTACACCTGACTTGTAAGATAAACCTAAATAGAGATCCCTTTGCATGCCATGCAGCTCTACCCAGAATTAATATCAGTTACAGAGAAAGAAAAGAAGGCAGAGGAATTCACAAAGGCAGAGGAATGTCATTAAGGCTAAGGCTTTCTAACAAAGTCACCCCCATTACCCCGCTGGCTCTTTTCCAGCATCACATCGCAGCAGATTCATGCATTCAAGGAACTTTACCAAAATGTGGCCTCCAGGCAGCCTGCATGACTCAGCTATTCACTGGGCAGTTGCTGTGTCTGTCTTAACCAGCAATCCAATTCAGGCAGGACCATCTTTGAAGTTTGGCACTTAAGTGGTACCCACAAGGTCTGTACAAATGTCAGCAGCCTGCAGCAACTCTGTAACTCCCTGACCCTATAATGCTCCAATTCCTTCCGAGTCCCAGGGTGGGACATACAGTAGGACCTTGAAGGATGTGCTGTTCTGCAAGTACAGCATGTCCTTGAAGAACCAAAGCATGGTTGCAGAGGTACCGATTTGCACTTGTGTCAGAACACCAGCTGCAAAATACAGCTGCTGGAAGTTTTGACTTTCCACAGCAA